AGGGCGAGGGAAAGTGTTATTGTAGTTGAATGAACAAATTAACAAGAGTACATTTAAAAATTGTTTTTATTGATTTCAGAGAGAGAAAGGGAAAGGGAGAGATAGAAACATCAATGATGAGAGAGGATCACTAATTGGCTGCTCCTGCACACCCCTCCTCCAACTGGGGCATGTGCCTTGACTGGGAATCAAACCATGACCACCTGTGACTCAGCCACTGAGCCAGAGGACAAGGAGGAAACTCCAGGCAGGGGACATGCCCAGGATAGTGACGAGCATTTCTTCAGGATACAGTGACCTGGCTGGACTGACTGGACCGAAGGTCCAGCGGAGCACTGGAAAGGGAGGCAAAGTTATAAAGTGCCTTCCACAAAGCTAGACGGTCACTGCTCATGGGTCACAAGGACGTGCTGCATGCTTTGTGATCCACACTTCTTGCCTTTAACACATACGTGAGCACCTACCGTGTGAGGCACAATGTTAAGCACCAAATAAGACAAGATCCTTGCTCTCATGGAATTTGCATTCTAGTGGCTATGGCAATTACCTTAGACAGGTTGGTCAGGAAAGGCCTGACAAAGTGACATCTGACTCTGAGATAGGACTAATGGGAGAAAGAGCAAATACCAATGTCCTAAGACTCACAATCATGGTGTATCCAAGGGACAGAAAGGCCAGAGCCTGGTGAGCGCAGGGAAGGGGCAGGGAAGCCTAGAGAACTCTTTTACAATAACGGTCTCTGCTTACAGACAATAACGGTCTCTGCTTACGGGAGTTGAAGACGAAGAGCATTCTGGAATGCTCTCTCTTTTCTAAATTATGTTGTGTGGGAAGTCAGGAAAATGGCTATGAAGTTTGCCCAATCACTAAGCAAGAGGACTCAGTCCTCCAAACGTCATATTCACCTCCCATTCCTCCTCATCACCAATGAGGCCAAGGTTTAACCCTCACAGTCAGCCTTGCTCAGGAAGAGCCTCAGATTTGTTCTTCTCTCCTGAAGGGGCGTGAGCGGCATCACACCAGGAGGGGAAACGTATTGGTGGGCACCTCCTGGCACAAGACACTCGCACCAAGCACCTCAGAGAGGCTCCTGGTTTTGCGCAGGCAACCCATTTCACAGATCCAGATCCAAAAGGTTAAAAAAACGTGCTCAGGATCATACAGCAGGAAGTAGCAGAGTAAGAATGAAACTCAGTTTTTCTTTTTCTCAATTTCATAATTTGTTTACCAGACATGAATAGTCCTGATATTCAAAAAGTTAGAGAATAACATATCAAAACCCATGTACTCCATAGAGAGGAGAAGAAATGCAATTTGAGCCCATCTGTTGTGTCTCAGTGGTTGAGTGTCAACCTATGAACCAGGAAGTCACGGTTCGATTCTCTGTCAGGGCACAGGCCTGGATTGTGGGCTCCATCCCCAGTGTGGGGCTTGAAAGAGACAGCCGATCAATGATTCTCTTATCACTGATGTTTCTATCTCCCTCTCCCTTCCTCCCTGAAATCAATAAAATATTAAAAAAAAAAATACAACATGAAGCCTCCTACGTACTGCTCTCTTCATTCTTCTAAACAACGGTCTCTGATTCCTTCCACTTGGGAGATACTGCAAAGAGCATCCTAAAAGGTACCAGTGGCACTTCCATCTTCTTCCAGTCACTAAGTTCAATGAATTCTGATATCTATTTCCACTATTCTTCCTACCCTTCTCCTTTCTATAAGAATAATTTATCTGGATGATTACAATGCCTCCTAACAGGTCCCCCTGCATCTACTCATCCCCCTTTCCAGTCTAATCTTCATATTACAACCACTAGCCTTTAAAAAAAAAAAAAAAATATATATATATATATATATATATATATATATATATATATATATATATATATATTATTGCTTTCAGGGATGGAGAGGGAGAGATAGAAACATCAATTATGAGCCGAATCCAATTTGGCTCAGTGGATAGAGCGTCAGCCTGCACACTGAAAGGTCCCAGGTTCGATCCTGGTCAAGGGCATGTACCTTGGTTGCAGGCACATTCCCAGTAGGGGGTGTGCAAGAGGCAGCTGATCGATGTTTCTCTCTCATTGATGTTTCTAACTCTCTATCTCTCTCCTTTCCTCTCTGTTAAAAATCAATAAAATATATATATATATATTTTTTTAAAAAGAAACATCAATTATGAGAATCATTGATTGGCTGCCTCCTGCATGCCTCCTACATATGCCCTTGACCAGAATCAAACCTGGGACCCTTCAGTCCATAGGCCATTGCTCTATCCACTGAGCAAAACCGGCCATGGTAGACCAACTGCAGTTCTCGAGCCACATGTGGCTCTTTGGCCCCTTGAATGTGGCTCTTCCACAAAATATCACGGCCTGGGCAAGTCTACTTTGGAAGAAGTGGCGTTAGAAGAAGTTTACCAAGTTCAGAAAATTTGGCTCTCACAAGAAATTTCAATCGTTGCACTGTTGCTATTTGGCTCTGTTGACTAATGAGTTTGCTAGGGCAATCACTACTCTTATTAAAACCTTTCACCAGCTGCTCTTTGCTGTGAGGAGAGACAAATCACTTGAGTGGCATGCAAGGTTTCCTGTGGCCTTTTGCCTGTTCACCTCTCCAGCTTTATCTCAACCCGTGGTTTTAGAGGCCCCACCTTCTGGCAGTTCCTTGTAATCTCCCTGCACTCTCCAGCCTCGGCCTTTGTACACACTGTTCCTTTCTGCTCCACCTGGGTAACTTGCTTCCTTTTCTCAGGTAAGTTTATCTTGAGTGCCCTGACTGTAGCGTTCCTTGGTACCTGTCACGCTGACAATTTTACACTGATTTGTGAGATTAATTAATTACTGTAGCTTCTCTAATCAGCTAGGGACCAAAAACTACTTGCTTAGTCCAAAATGCATGCTACATAGGTAATAGCCAATGTGTACATAACATATTTGATGCCAGGCTGTGTTCTTAGCACTTAACATCTACTAACTCACATAAGAACTTCCAAAAGTCCTTTTTTGAGGTAGGTAAATTAGCCTTTTATATATATATATATAAAAGCAAACTAAGTCACACAAGCTAAGAAATGGCAGAGATGGGCTGTGGTGAACCCAGGTAGTCAGTCTGGCTAGAGTAGGGAAATTATTCCAAGAGTTCTATAAACTGCCGAAACCGGTTTGGCTCAGTGGAGGTCCCAGGTTCGATTCCAGTCAAGGGCTTCTACCTTGGTTGCGGGCACATCCTCAGTAGGGGGTATGCAAGAGGCAGCTGATTGATGATTCGCTCTCATCGATGTTTCTAGCTCTCTATCCCTCTCTCTTCCTCTCTGTAAAAAAAAAAAAAAAAAAAAAAAAAAAAAAAAATCAATAAAATATATTAAAAAAAAAATAAGAGTCCTATAAACTACCTACATCCAATTAACCTTAGAGCAATATAGTGAAAATATAACAATTCAGACAATGCTTCACGTGCAGCCCATGAAACCATATCAGGGGAAGTCAAGAAACTGCACTTTTTCTTTATGTGCATTTTTACTAGGGAAGGCTTTCATTTGTTCCTTCCAGAGCTTAGAACTTAAAAAAAAAAAAAAAAAAAAGTAGCTAAGAACCACGATCCTTTCCACCTGTACAAGCATTCTTTCCGGTTCCCTTTAAACAGGCACCTTCACAGGATGAAACATCTCTATTCCTTTAAGTACCTGACCACTGTGGGTGGAGATCTAAGAGGAATTCAAATACCCCCCCCCTCCCCGCCATGTGAGTTGAGAGCTCGTAACAGCACCGGCCTCAAATCCTATAAATGTCTTAGGGAAGTGATCGGTATTCACCTCCTCGAAGGGGGAAGCTGAGTGCAAGGCCCAGGGCAGTCAGGAGCGCTTGGGTCCAGTCCCAAGCAGTGTGGCCTCGCACACACGTTGCATACCCTCTCTGGGCTTCCGCTTCCACACCTGCAAACTGGAAGTGGAACCGCATGGTCTCCAAGGTCCTGCCCCGCCGCTGAACCTGCTACCCAGTAGGTCCCGCCATTAAAGCAGCTTCCTGTGGGCGCGGTGCACGGCTTCAACGCCCCCCTCCCTCCCTCCCCTCCCCTCCCCTCCCCCGCTCAAGCCCGCGAAACCCTCTCCAACACGCCCCTCCGAGGGCCGGCGCTTCCCCAACCGCAACCCGGACGCGGCCCCGCCCCTTCCCGGGGGCGTCCCATCCTGCCCCGCGCCGGGCTCCCACAGCGCCCGGGGCACCTCCCGCCTCGCCGAGGCCCCGACCCCGAACTCTTCCCCCCAATTCTCCCGGGCGCCCTGTCCTATCAACGTCTCGTACCCCAGCCAATCCTGCGGGGCCCGGAGCCCGGCCTTAGGTCCACTCTCCTCTCAGCGCTCCGCCGGTGTGAGACCGAGGCCTTTACCCAGCCAGCCCAATCAGCGCCCGGCTCTCTCCGGCCCTCGGCCAATCCACGCAGCCCATTTCCGCTGCCCGCCCAACCAACCCGGGACTTGAAACCAGCGGGCGAATGGGTGCAGGGCGGCCCTTCAACGCAGGCCGCCTGGCCAATAGGGAGCTCCGCATGGCCACGGCGGCAGCCAATCGGCGTGGAGCGCGGTGCCGCCGCGGAGAGGTCCGGCCCGAATATCCCTCCGCCTTCCTCCCTCCCTTCTCTCTCGCTCCCTGCGAGTCGCCGTTCACTGACTGCCTCCCTTCCTCCTTTCTCCCTCCGCCGCCCGAGCACCAGCCGCGCTCTGAGCTGCCCCCGGGGTCCCTCCCCCGCCGCCAGAGGAGCAGCTGCCGCCGCCGCCGCCGCCAGCAGCGGATTGGGAGGGAGGAGAGAACGAGAGGAGGAAGGAAGGGAGCCAGAGCGACTAACCCGAGGGAGCCGGTGAATGGGCTGGTGGTGACCCCCGCTCCCCACCCCACCCTCCCTTCCCACCCGACCCCCAACCCCCATCCCCAGTTAGAGCCGCCGCCCCAGAGGCCGGACCCGTCGTCTTAGGAAGGAGTAGCCGCTGCCACCTCCGCCATGGAGCTGATCACCATCCTCGAGAAGACCGTGTCTCCGGGTAGGACGCGGGGGCTGGGGGTCGGGCTGAGGTGATTGGGTGGGGGGGGGAGGGAAGCCCTAGCCCCTCTGACCCTGTCCCCTTTCCCACTTTCCTTCCCCCCCAGATCGGCTGGAACTGGAAGCGGCGCAGAAGTTCCTGGAGCGTGCGGCCGTGGAGAACCTGGTGCGTGCCATCCCGCCGGCCCCCATCCCTCTGTCTCCTCATCCCCGGCGTGCGGGCCTTCCCGCCCTCCCGGAGGCCCAGGCCTCGGGAACCCACCCCGCCCCATCCCGTCCCCCTCCCTCCCCCACCCGGTCCAACCTAACCCCGCCATCGGGAAGCCGGTGGGTGTGTCCCGCCCCGGACCCGGCGCCTGGCCAATGGCGCGGCGCGCCGGGGTGACTGCCGGCCAATCGGCGCGCGGCCTGAGGGCGGCGGTGCAGCGGGAGGGAGAAAGAGGGAGGGAAGCGAAGTTAGGTTGCGCCGCGCTGCGTGTTCAGCAAGGGTGGGGGTGGGGGAGCCGGGCCTAGGGGCCATGTGGAAGCTCCGGGCCCGGCTGCCCGCCCTGTGCGGACCCGGGCCGGCGTCTTCCTGCCCCGTAGCCCTTGTGATTCAAATGCATCTACTTCTTAGAGCTCTACCCTTTCCCCTCTCCCTTGGTGTGTGCTCAGAGACAGGTCTGGCACCCGAATGCCTCTTGACCCTTTCCCGGGCAATATTTCTCCCTTAACCTGCCTGATGATTCCTTCCCCAGTTTTCTTTTTAATTAATTCGATGAGTAGAGAATTTGTATCCAGACAGCAGGCCTTTAGAGGCTCACCCTAAAGATAGGGCCTGTTTCCAGACGAAATCAGAGGGAAGTTCCTCGTTTTTCATCACTTCATATTTAAGGGGTGCAGGAAAAGGAAGACACGTCCCCTAGAGTCTGGGCTTCTGTCTGAAAATGTGTGGGGTAGGGTGGTTGAAATAGCCTGGTGCCGGGATTGTTTCCTCTTATTGGTGGGGGAATGGAGAGCAAAGGGAAAGGTGGCTCGTACTTGACATCTTTGAAAGGTAATAGGTAATAAGTCGCAATCACACTAACCAAATGGGTTTATTTGGGTTAATTAGAAAAATAATATAAGGGGAAAATAGTGAAGAGGCCTATTTTATACAAGCTGCTCTCTTGAGTGATTCCTCCCCCCCCCCCTTATATGTGATAGGTTTGATTACTACTTTTTTATTCTTCACTTTCCATAGAAAATATTTCCCCCCACACTGGTATAGATGGGTAGTATTTCCATTTGGAGTGTATTCCTGTTCCTGCTTTTGCTAATTTGCAAGAAGCCTTTTATGTGATTCCTGGCATTATTTAGTAGTGTTAAGTTAATAAGATTTAAAGAGTCGTCTTCTGTGATTGCAGAACTTGGTGGTGGTAAGAAACTATCTGCTTTTAGCCAGGGAAGAAGAGCTTTTGGACAGAGCTTTTTGCAGGGTAAAGGACTGTGTGTTAAGTGTTTTAAAAAAAACAAAGGGAGTAGTTTTGGGGTTCTGTGTTAGAAAAGATTGAGTGTGCTTTTTGGGAATCCACTATGTTTAGTGGTCAGCTCAAATCCAAAGTGTATAGGAGCCTTTATTATGTAAATGTTGGCTATTAAATATAAAGTCATTTGCTTTGACAGATTTACCATGACAATTTCTAAGTATCATTCCCCCACCCCCCTGTCATTGTTCCCCAATTGATGAGCACTCACAACTAAAATAGAGGGCTTGTTTCTTAAGTCTGTTTTATGTTTATAAGTAATATTCATACAAGATTACCTGCTTCTCTGAGATCAAAAGCCACTCGTGAGTGTCATTCCATTTGGACTGAGGTGTTTTTTTAAGTTAGAAAAATTTTTTATTTTTTACCCTGTCATAACATCCATTTATTCAACAAATAGGTATTAACAGGCACTGTTATAGGTGCATTTAAAAAAATAATCTGACTACGAGATTATCAACCTTGCTTTAATTCTGGGGGATCTGATGTGACAATTTGGGCACGAAGGATGATGTTGATAGGAAAACCTGTAACTTGTTAAATGCTGAGGCTGCATGATTAGATGGATGACTTCCTTAATGTGATATTTTTACAGGAGCCTTGAAGTAGATGTTTTGGAGTTTTCTGAGGCATTATGATATGTCCTAAAAAATTTAGGTTTTCCCCAGTGTTTTGATGCTTCATAAGCTATCTTCAATTGACAGTTCTGAAGAGATATTTTCATTCACCAATGCATCTTTCTTAACAGCCCACGTTCCTTGTGGAACTGTCCAGAGTGCTAGCAAATCCAGGAAACAGTCAAGTTGCCAGAGTTGCAGCAGGTCTACAAATCAAGAATTCTTTGACATCAAAAGATCCAGATATCAAGGCACAATATCAGCAGAGGTGGCTAGCAATTGATGCTAATGCTCGACGGGAAGTCAAGAATTATGTAAGTAACTTTTGCCTCTTTTGGTCATGTAGCGTAGGGAACAAGAAAAATCTCTTGTCAGTTCTTTTATCATTTGCATGGGGTAGAGCTGATGGTATAATAGGTTTCTGATACCTAAACTTCACTTGAAGATAAAAATTGTATTTGATTTGTATCATTTCAGCTTGGCCATTCCCATTAACGGATTGGAATTCTTTTAAGATCACTAAGGTAGACTGCAGCAGTTTGGAAATCTTTAGTTAGATGCCAGAATTTGTAGAATCTCTGGAGAATTGGAGTAATATACAAATTGATGGTTCCCAAACTTGGAATATCCGAATCACTTAAGGAATTTGTTAATATGTTTTCAAGCTCCCTCCAGAAATTTTGATTTTGGAGGGTGAGGTTTGGGGTATTTTTTTTAACCTGTCTTCCCAAGTGGTCCTAGTCTGCTGTAGATCATTCTCGCTGTTTGGTGATTTAGGGATGCTACTGTGTGGAATCACAAGGTGAATGAAATCATCTCTTGGGCCATTGAAGCCCAGAGGATTTATGAAGCAAGATTGACATCAGTGGTGCTTTGATCACATCTTTAGCAAATTATGGAAAGCTTCCTTTAGAAATACCGGGCTTTTGATCAAAGCATTTAGGCTGATGGATTTTGTGGAAAATTGGATGTATCTTGTTACTCTGCATCATGGAGTTCTTGTGATTTTTATTGTTGTATTAGAAATTCATATTTTTAAATGTAACAAGATATGGAATATATGAACAGATGTGTTTTGCTTTTTTTTTTTTTTTTTTTAAGTAATGGAGCTTTTTTTTTTTTTTAACTGTCCTATATTAAGGCACAGAGAGTAAGTCACGCATTATTGGTCCTTGGTATTTGAGGGGAACTAGTGGGGGATTCTTGTGTGTGTACTTGTGCAGGTATGGTTATTATGTCTTATTTGTGATTTCTTGGTTCTAGGTGTCAGCATTAGGTACATTGACGCCCCTTTTGGCAATAAGTTCTCTTTCCTAGTAATATACGTCTCTCTCCAGTCTTGTGTCGATATACCCATGACAAAGAATTAGGTTATGAAGGCAACTTATTTTGTATATTCTTTAAAATATATAGAATTGTTTTTATGCACATTGAGTCTGCTTATGTAGTAAAATTTTAATCTACCCTTCAGCAGTTTGATACAAATGAAGTTTATTTCATCAGTTACTGAAAATATTGATTCCTGTGCTGTAGTGCCCAAATTGAAATATGACTGTAACTGACTTAATTGTTTGTTTATTTTTAAAATAAATTTTTATTGATTTCAGAGAGAAAAGGAGAAACAATGAGAGGATCATTGATTGGTGCTGCCCCCTACTGGAGCCCACAACCTGGCCATATGCCCTTGATCAGAATTGAACCTGGCACCCTTTAGTCCGTAGGCCAGCCCTCTATCCACTGAGTCAAACTGGCTAGGGCGTGACTTATTTTTTTGTCAAATCAAAAAAAAATCTTGACCTAAAAGTTTCTCTGAAATTTGAATAAGAACTTGTTGAGCCCTTGTGCGTGAAGAGAAAAATAGCAATTATTGCCCAGACAGTGTGGCTCGCTGGTTGAATGTTGTCCTATGAACCAGAAGGTCGTGTTTTCATTCCCAGTCAGGGCACATGTCTGAGTTTCTGGGCTTGATCCCCAGTAGGGGGCATGCGGGAGGCAGCTGATCAGTGATTCTCTCATCATTGATGTTTCTCTCACTCTCTTTCTCTGAAGTAAAAAAAATACACACACACACACACACACACACACACACACACACACACGCACAGCAGTTATCTTGGCCTTTTCCCTTTAATAGCACATTTTGGTCATTAATGCCTTCTCAATGCTGGTGGTTATTTTTTGAAATCTGGGTCTTGGACACAATTGAGAACTAGTTTCTTTTTCTTATTTCAGGTTAGTACCTCTCATAAGGTCACCCCTAGTTTTTTTTAAAAAATTACCCAGCAGTGGAGCCTAAGACCATCGGAAAACAGATATTTACGTTAGGATTCATTAAAAGTAGCGAGTTTACAGTTAGGAAGTAGTAATGAAAATAATTTTATGATTTTGGGGTCACCACAGCATGAACTATATTAAAGGGTCGCGGCATTAGAAAGGTTGAGAACCGCTGCCTTAGACTTTTGACGTACAGTTCTGTTACAGTGCACTCCAGCTTTAGTAGCCCTAGAGAGCAAAACCTTTATTTAGAATCAGAGCTGCTTGTTTATTGGGCAGAGCTGTTGGGAGTATACTGTATAAGGGGGAAAGATTGAGGGGGGGGTCATTATTATTAGCTACAAAGCAGGATACTGAGTGACCTGACCCAGTCAGCAGAGTTGGCCTGAATAATTGGCAGCTCCTCTTTGTCCTGTGCTCATGCCAGGAACAGTTAACTGTTTGCCTTTTGAGTGGACTGGTGATTCTTAGTTCATTGACTAAATAAGCTGAATATGATAATAATTAACCCTGGATCCATTGTCGCTTCAGCCTTTATCTGTACGTGTGTCTTTACCTTCACATAAACGCTTGTATGATTAGCATTTCAAACAAGGTATGTTTAATGCTAAGTGGATTTCATTTTAATTGGCATATCTGACTAGTACTTGGTATCTGTTGATGGCCGAGAGAACAGTTCTTTGATTTTTGGGGGAAACAGATCAAATCCTTTCAGATTGGAAGTTAAATAAGGATTGGTTCTTAGGTATTGGTAACATCAGTAACTTTATGTCTGTATCTAATGATCTTACTATGAGAGCCCCCAGGGTGCTAAATTGTCAATGAGTAGAAGACAGAAGGTGTGTTCCACATTTCCTGAGTGGGAAAATCTCTTCCTTGAATCAGGTTAAATTAGGAATCAGATCCATTTGAGTGCCCCAGAGTTGGTTAACTTCATCCTAAAATCACACCCTTTGCACAAAACAAAGCTGTGAGCATCCTTCCATTATTACCAGCAAGGAACATAGAAGACTAATTTTGTCATCTCTTCCTCCTTTTAATGCTATCTCACGTGCTGCTTTTCTACTTTGAGTTGAACATTGAAATGAGTTGTCCGGCTTTGGAGAATTCCATTGGATGTAGGGGTCGGGTTTTTTGTTTTTTTTTTCCCCTGGAGTCTGAGGCGATGTTGATTGTGCTAATATTGGTATTGAGACTGGCTTTTTTTTTCCTTTTTCTGACAACTGACTTGTACTGTAAATGCCAATTTCTACTTTTCTGTGTTATTGAAAACTCAGATTGATATGAGGGTTTAAATAGTATTAGAAATTAATATCTTTCATCTTACTTTTTTGGTGTATGTGTGTGCGTGCAGGTTTTGCAGACTTTGGGCACAGAAACCTACCGGCCTAGCTCAGCCTCGCAGTGTGTGGCTGGCATTGCTTGTGCGGAGATCCCAGTGAACCAGTGGCCAGAACTCATTCCTCAGCTGGTGGCCAATGTCACAAATCCCAACAGCACAGAGCATATGAAAGAGTCAACATTGGAAGCTATTGGTTACATTTGCCAAGATATCGTAAGTGCTGCCTCATCTTATCTAACATGCATAGCTACGATTTCATCTAGTTTTTACAGGCACATATTGGGATGATCTTTACTGTATTATAAAGAAAACTAAGCTACTGCAAAGTGTTTTGAAAGTAGGACTGCTTTATTTGTTCATTTAGCTCCTAAATTAACTTACCCTAACATTGTTAATCATCTACTAAAATTAAGAGCCTTGAGGGTCAAAAACTCCATGTGTTTGGAGAGACAGATTCTGGACTTTTAAGGATATTCTTTATCTTGGAGCATCCCTTATCTGACCCTTTCTCAAGGTCCTTAGTGTACCATGGATGCTGTTACATTTTCATTGACTGTTTTATAGAAACAGTTTGCCAGCTCTTGTAATTGGTTTAGTCATTGGAGCCACAACACAGTATATTAAATGCAGCCTTCCTAGGACTGTTTGTGCTGCTCACGTTACCACTCTTGGTGTCTGAGGTTTGTATGTGTCGGGGGGGGGGGGGGGGTGTCTGTTTTGATATACAGACTTGAAGCATAGAAGTCCCTAGCAGTTGACATGGGCTTGGACTCCCTAATATGTGCCTAGGTGTTGATTCTTGGCACTCAGACGTTCTGAAGCTATACTTCAGTTGGGAGGGGTGACCTGGGGACAGGAGGGGGGATCACACTGTCATTTCCATTTGCACAAAACCGGGGAAACAGTGTTGCCTCATGTCCAGAATCATGCTAAGAAGTCAGATATAAAGTTGATAAGTTTAACGTGTTTCGGATCAATTTGGGACTACCAGGCGCTGGGATATTTTGACCCTACATGGAAATATGTGCTGAAAGATCAGAGAAAGTCATTATCCTCACTCAAGTGGATTTTACACTTAAAAAGATTTTACACTTAAAAAGTCATGAGTTCATTATTATATTTACTGCGCTTCTGCTCGTTTCAGGACCCAGAGCAGCTACAAGATAAATCCAATGAGATTCTGACTGCCATAATTCAGGGGATGCGGAAAGAAGAGCCCAGTAATAATGTGAAGCTAGCAGCTACTAATGCACTGCTGAACTCATTGGAGTTCACCAAAGCCAACTTTGACAAAGAGGTAAGTGTCTTTTGGTGTAAGTTCAGAGGTGAGAAGTGAGAGTTAAATGAAAGTTTTCAAGTTTATGACTTAGAAAGGGCTGTTTTGTTTAGAGGCATTGGTTTCTTTCTCTTTTTAAATCATAGGAGCATTTATTCCAGTACTGCTGGTAGTATGGGAAAGCACTAGGTCATCCACTAAAATCTGCTCTGCAGCTCCCCCATAAATCTGCGGCTTCTATGGGGAAGTAGGGATTGCAGGCATGGGAAGTAGTAGGCTGGGGTGGGAGCCCACTGTTTAGGCAACATGATTGTTAATCTTTACATGATAACAGGCAGTTCTTGAATGAGAATGGCTCCAAGGTTGATTGTCAGGTCCTGGGTTGATAGAGGCATTCATTTCTAGTTAACATTTGTGAGATGTGGCCTTGGAATAGGTGTTAGCCATTTTTAATCAGTCTTTGGGAATAATGTGACCTGAAGGATTTCTGAGCTTAGGTTTTTCCTTTTGCAGTACAAAGTGTACTTGGGAATCCTCCCCACCCCCCTAACCCCCTTGATTGTAGAATTTGGGCTTTTCTTCTCTGACCAGTGTGGCTTAGTTGGTGCATCCTCCTGTGCTCCAAAAGGTGGTGGGTTTGATTCCTGGTTGGGCAGTTAGGGGGTGAGCCAGTCGATGTTTCTCTCACATTAGTGTTTCCTTCCCTTCTTTCTGAAATAAATTAAAAAAAAAAAATCCTTGGATGAAGATTAAAAAAGAAAAGAAATTGGGCTGTTTTATATTTCCTGAGGAAGGTGCTTTTAAAAACATATATATATTTTTTTATTGATTTCAGAGTGGAAGGGAGAGAGAGACAGAAACATCAATGATGAGAGAGAATCACTGATTGTCCACCTGCTGCATGCCCCCCACTGGGGATTGAGCCTGCAACCTGGGCGTATGTCCTGATCATCGAACCGGTGACCTCTTGGTTCCTGGGTCTGCGCTCAGCTGCTGAGCCACTCCCGGCTAGGCTGAGGAAGGTGCTTTTGAAAATTAAAATTTAAACAAAGTTTATTTTGCCTGAAAGTATTTTCTCATTATTTACTTATTTTTAATTGTGTTAAAATAGACAATAACATAAAATTTACCATCTTAACCATTTTTAAGTGTACAGTTCAGTAATAAGTGTATTCACATTATTTTGCAACCAATTTCCAGAACTTTTTCATCTCGCAATTGAAACTATATCCATTAAACAACACCTGTTTTCCCTTCCCTATTCCTGGCAACAATCTTTCTACTTTCTGTTTCTGTGATTACCTAACTTTCTACTTTCTGTTTTTGTGATTACTCTAGATAGCTTACATAAGTGGATCATGCAGTATCTGATTTGTCTTTTTGTGACTGCTTTATTTCACTTAGTATAATGTCTTGAGTTCATGCATGTAGCATGTATCAGAAGTGTTGACCCATGAACCAAGAGGTCGCTGGTTTGATTCCCAGTTATGACTCATGCCTGGGTTTCTGGTTCTATCCCCAGTAGGGGGTGTGCAGGAGGCAGCCAATTGATGTTCTGCTCTCAGATCACCTCAATGTTTCTAGCTCTCTTCCTTCTCCCTCTCCTTTCCTCTCTAAAAATCAATAAAAACAGAAAAATATATATATATAATATTCCATTGTATGTATATACCACATTTTGTTTACCCATTTATCTGTCACTAGACATTTGGGTTGCTTTCTTCCACCTTCTATCGAGAATAATGCTACTATCAACATGGGTGTGTGTGTGTGTGTGGGGGGGTGCATAGATCTCTTTGAGACCCTGTTTTCAGTACTTTTATATGTACACCCAGAAGTGGAGTCGCTAGGTCATATGGTGGTCTAAAGGTATTTTTGTATATATTTTGGCACTTTAGCTGGGATTTTTGCCATTCCTTGGCCTTATAGAGGACAAAGAAGGGAGGCCAAACAAACTGAAATTCTAATTGCTTAGGAAATAGGGATTTTCCTTTTAGATTTCAGAAGATTTAGGACAATAGCAAAATTCATCATTCTATATCTTGCTGCATTTACTCTGAAATAAAGCAGATGTTTTGGATTATCTTAATTTTTTAATACAAAGAAACTGGTTTTCTTACTGTAGGTGTGTTTTTTTAATCTTCACCCAAGGAATTTTTTTAGAGTGTAATGGGGGGGGGGTTGGGGGGGAACATCAGTGTGAGATTGATGGTTGCCTCCTGCACGCACCGTGATCAAACCTGCAATCCAGGTAAATACCCCTTGACCAGGAATCTAACCCAAAACCCTTCCAACCACTGAGCCAAACCAGCTAGGGTGGGACTTCCTTTGAGGGTAGGTCATATAGTAGACACTGGGGGCAAACTATAGCCTTCACGGTGCTATTACTGTGTCAAGGTAAAGCTGCGTGATTGGTCCAGGATTGTGTGGTTTCTGGAGGGAGTGAGGTTTTTCTTGAAATAATAGTCTAACAATTTTCATATATATGGTTTAAACTCTTCTAATTCCCTTTTATTTCTACAGTCCGAAAGGCACTTTATTATGCAGGTGGTTTGTGAAGCCACACAGTGTCCAGATACGAGGGTAAGTATGAGGTCATTGAATAATATGGCTTGTCTACTTTCCTAGGAAATGCCAGCTCTAGCATTGTAGTTTGAAATGTTGAGAATCAGGTGACTTCAGAAATAAGGTTTGACCAATAAGAATTTTTCTTCAACATTAAAGAAAAGGGAAGAACAGGATTTGGAAAGTTAACATATTAAAAACTGACATCTTGGAAAGGGTTTAGGGGAGAAATGGTTTTTGATCCGCTTTGCTGCTTAATTGCAGTAGTTTTTTAATTGATTGTTTTCCAGCGTAACCATTGAAACAGCTTTGCTATTGCTGTAACCTAATCTTGACCCTTGAAGTAACATTCTAGTCTAAGTGGTATTAGTAAGTTTTGTCCTGCTATGGCTTGCATGGGGGAATGATAACCCAAATGTACCTAGTATGGCCCTTTAGGTTATTGACCCATTTGAGTGAAGTAGTTACTTTTGTCTAATTGCCTTTTTAAACTAAATGGTAAATCATTTAATCTCTTTGTAAAAGGTTCGAGTGGCTGCCTTACAGAATCTGGTGAAAATAATGTCCTTGTATTATCAGTACATGGAGACATATATGGGTCCTGCTCTTTTTGCAGTAAGTATTTCTATTTTATGTGTTTGAGCATGTAGCTTATTGGGTATTTTTGTGAATTCTGTAATTTTTTACTTGCAATTATAAATCAAGAAAATTTCTTGAGTTCCAGTGTTATGTTTATGTTCATTAATAGTGTGCCAAGAAAGCTTGTACTGTTTCTTCTAGTAAAAAGTATATTTTAAAAAATCTGTTTCCTCTTTCTACCTTTCACTTCAGATAGCTTTTATAAATCTACATTTTTGAAACTTGAATGTCTGTGGATAGAGGAGGGGGTCTATCTTGAACCAGCACTTATGTGGGGCCTGGGTTACCATGTTTTTCCTCTTAAGATCACAATCGAAGCAATGAAAAGTGATATTGATGAAGTGGCCCTACAAGGGATAGAATTCTGGTCCAATGTGTGCGATGAGGAAATGGATTTGGCCATTGAGGCTTCAGAGGTGAGCCTGGGAGACGGTTGGTTGGGGTGGGGAGGGGGGAGCTGTTACTCTGCCTGGGCTTTGGGGATATATCTCCTTTGTGGATATGATTGTTCTCCTCTGGGAAAGCTTTCTTCTGACTGGACTTTGTGGGTATCTCCATTTGTACAACTTGTTATTTTTCTGCTAGCCAAAGCCACCTTTGAAGGAGACTGATCAATCATGTTTCCTCTCACGTTTTTCCCAATCAGCCTGGCATGATTTATTACACTCATTTTAGTATTGTGACCACAAGGGGGCAGCAGGCAACCACAGTTCAACCAAGTGACATCTGATGCTAAAGTACTTCCTTTTGGAAGTCCTAATGCAAATATGGAATGTAGATATCAATAGTTTACTAACTTCAAAGAAGAAATTGGATATGGAAAGGGGGGTAGTTCTGTACTTGAAATATTTGTTTCCCATCTTGATTGTCTTTGTGTACTTCATAAAACACAAAAAAATCTTATTTTGGCATTCTTAAGGTTATAGATGACATTGTGTTAATATGAATTGAGCTTATGAAAAAAGAGTGTAATTCTTAAGGCCTAAAAGGATCTCATTGAAGTAGACCAAAAAAGAAATGTCTTCAAAGATCATAGCGCATGTCACCATTGGGTCCATGTATTTCTGTACAGATCCTGGGCAGCTCTCAGAGTGTGCCTTAGTGTCATAGCTTGTGTCTTGCCATCCAGAACTTGCTCTGTTTGTCCTCAGGCAGCAGAACAAGGACGGCCCCCTGAGCACACCAGCAAGTTTTATGCCAAGGGAGCACTACAGTACCTGGTTCCGATCCTCACACAGACGTTAACTAAACAGGTGAGTTACCTTCCAGTTCAAGCCAGGTAAGTGAAACCTTGCTGTGGGTTGGTTTGCTGTGGAACCATTTCCAAGAAAGAATTCAGCAACTCTTAAACTAGTTGGTGCTCAGATATAGATGACTTGGGAACTGTTGAGCTGGCTCTATAAGATCCTCTAGGCTGAGTTGTTTGCAGTTTTGAGCAGGAATGAACCACATACTGCTCTGATTTCCTGAGTGCTACGTTATTCAAACTAGCAGAAGAGACCTGAGCTACAATTTTTTATATGAAGTGTACCTTGGTTGCAATCGTTCCCGTTTGAATTTATGCCTTACAGTGTTGGGAAGAATTGTTTCTATTGCCTCATCTCTTCTGGTGCATGTAAAATGTTACCAAAGAGCTGGCAGTACTGGTGCTCTGAGGCAGCTGTGCTGTAACTTCCAGCAAAATGTCTCTGTGCACTAGAATATAATTTGGTTTGGGGGAGTACATGACTCTCGATCTCAAAAGATAAGTGGAGATGTGTCTGGTTTGAAATGGACTAGATGTTCCCTTAAAATTTTATCTCATCTCTCGGCTTTATAGTTGCTGTTTTTTATCTTTTGACCTTATAATAGTATTTTTGCTTTTGTTTATTTTGGTTGTACTTTTCTGATTTGGGAACAATCATTATTTAGGTATGTAATTAACCTGAAACTGCATAGGCACCTTAAACTACTATGTATATAACTAGAATCATATATACATTTTTGTTTTACTCTGTAAGTCTGAGATCATTCTTTTTTTTTTTTTAATATATATTTTATTGATTTTGTATAGAGAGGAAGGGAGAGAGAGAGTTAGAAACATCAATGAGAGAGAGTCATCAATCATCTGCCTCTTGCACATCCCCTACTGGGGATGTGCCCGCAACCAAGGTACATGCCCTTGACCGGAATCGAACCCGGGACCTTTCAGTCCCCAAGCCGACGCTCTATCCATTGAGCCAAACTGGTCTCGGTGAGATCATTCTTCTTGTTACATGTAGTTAAGTTGGTTCATCTCATTGTGTAATACTCCAGTGGCTTTTCCCTCCACCTGGATCTTACTTAACAAATCTGTGCTGTGATGAATCTCTGGAAGTGCATTGACCACCAGGGGGAAGACACTTAATGCAGGAGCTGCCCTCTGGTAGTCAATGTGCTCCCACAGCCAACCTCCTGGTCTGGCCAACCTCCTACAGACCATCCCCCTGCTGGCCGGCCAACCTCCCATAGCCCCAATTGTCCCTGATTGCCGGCCAGGCCGAGAGACCCCATGCGTGCACCAATTCATGCACTGAGCTACCTCCAGGGGATAGGTGCTCAATGCAAGAGCTGCTGAGCTGCAGAGACTTGGCAGCTGTGGTTCTCAGGTGATACACCCGGAACCAGAGAAGAGGGAGCCTGATTCTAGGATGTATCACCTGAGAACCGCCCTCTCGAAATCTGAGACCCCTCAGGAGAGGTTGGAGAGCCGGTTTCTGCCTGATCACCACATGTCAGGCCGAGGGACCCCACTGGTACACGAATACATGCGCCAGGCCTCTAGTAAATTATAAAGGTTTTGTTTTATTTCCATCCACAAAGCTTAAGTTCTAATGACCCTTGGGAATAGCCAGAGTACCTTGTGAATGAAAGTGATTGTCTTCCTTTTTTTTTTTTAGCAAAAACTTAACTAGTGCTACATTCTTTCTCCAGGATGAAAATGATGATGACGATGACTGGAATCCCTGCAAAGCAGCCGGGGTGTGCATCATGCTTCTGGCCACCTGCTGTGAAGATGACATTGTTCCCCATGTCCTCCCCTTCATTAAAGAACACATCAAGAACCCTGACTGGCGGTACCGGGATGCAGCAGTGATGGCTTTTGGCTGTATCTTGGAAGGACCAGAGCCCAATCAGCTCAAACCACTAGTTATACAGGTGAAACTGCAGAAGTTTTGGGGAGGGAAATTAGATATTTATTGTTTGTTTAAATTATTTGCTTGAAGGTGTGCCTTTATTTTTAAAAAGCTGTAAGGAGTTACCCGCAAAAGTTATTTGTGGATAGCTATTCGCTGCCAATGAAGAGTAAAACATATTTCTTTGTGAATGTTCAAAATACATATTTATTTAATTGTTCTTTATTATAAAAAAGACGTAACTTTTGAAAAATGCATAGGCCAAATGAACAAGTCATCTCTAATTCTCTTGTCTAGGGATAACATTCTAACTCTTGGTATTTATTCCTGTAGTCTTAATCTTTGTTTTGCCTTGCTAATAACTATTGTATTTTCAGGCTATGCCCACGCTAATAGAATTAATGAAAGACCCCAGTGTAGTTGTTCGAGATACAACTGCGTGGACTGTGGGCAGAATTTGTGAACTGCTCCCTGAAGCTGCCATCAATGATGTCTACTTGACTCCCCTGCTGCAGTGTCTGATTGAGGGCCTCAGTGCCGAACCCAGAGTGGCTTCAAATGTGTGCTGGGTAAGGGGATTTTCCCTGGTGAGATAAGGATCTTGGCTAAACCATTATTGGCAAGGAAATACGAGGTGTGGGAGAGAAATGGGTTTGCCTCCCTGGAAGGCTTTTTCTGACTGGCATCTCCTTTCTAATTTCTTCCATTAAGTGTGGGGGAGATGTCAACTGCATTAGCCAGTGGGAGCTGTTGACTCATAGTGACTGGTTCAGCTCCTCAACCATTTAGAACAGTCATGCTAGCCCAGTGGGAAAACTATCTGGACTCCATTTTCTTTCTTCAGTTGCTTGGGGAGAAGAAATTAGATTAAAGTAGAGAGTTGCTGGCTACAAAAAGGGCAGTTGCTGAGAAGGGGGCAAGAGGAAAGGAAGGTAGGCGGTGGAAGTGCTGAGTCAGTATGGCCGAATGTAGTTCACTAGGGACCTTTGGGGGTGCGGGAGGGAGTTCAAATAAGGAAAAGTGGGGGCTAAAGCCTTTCTGTGATTAGAGGCAGAAGTGCAGGCATTTGTGGTGGGGGACGCACTCTGCAGGTTGGAGAGTTTGGGGCAGCACAAGCAGAATATAAATAAGTAAACATTTAATTTTTAAGGACCCCTATAAAATGTTTTGAGATGACCTTGACCGGAAAAGTTGAATTCACTAGCATTGATATATTCTTAGACCAGTTGCAGAGGAACTGCCCAAGGTGTATCTCAAGGAAAAATGAGGTAGTCCTGGGGCAGGGTTCTTTTTAGGACTAGTATTAACTCTCTTTGGTTTTAAGGCTTTCTCTAGCCTGGCGGAAGCTGCTTATGAAGCTGCAGACGTAGCCGATGATCAGGAAGAACCAGCTACCTATTGCTTGTCGTCTTCTTTTGAACTCATAGTTCAGAAGCTCCTGGAGACCACGGACAGGTAACTTCTTACTAGGTGTCTGCATTCAGCTCCTGCCTTCTGGGGGAGGAGGGGATGTCTAATCTAGTCATAGAAACATCATAATAGGAGGAATTTTAAAAATCCGGTAATTATTTGTTGAAATAAGAGAGGGAAAGAAGTGTAACTAGGATTGTTCAGCTTACAGTTAAAGTCAGAAAATAGTCTCATTTCTTACAGAGTAATCTAGAGTCATTTTTGCAGTGCCTACCGTTAGCAGAACTGTTTGATTATGGTATAAGAGAAATAGCAGCTCTTGTGATGAATTTTGTTGCCATGTGAGATCATTAATTATCATTTATGATATTAGATGCAAAACTTATTAAATGCAGTTGTTTTCTAAAAGAGCATTGAAATGTAGTTTTAAGGGGTTACAAGTTGGGGACAGCTTTGAAATATTTTGGTTTTGTGTGAACTATACTTACTAAAGCCATGCTCAAAAGAAATCATTAAGTCCGGGCCGGGCCGGGCCAGTGTGGACAGTGGTTGAGCATTGACCGATGAACCAGGAGGTCACAGTTCGATTCCCTGTCAGGTGGGCTTGTCCCCACTGGGGGATATGCAAGAGGCAGCCAAACAATGATTCTCTCTCATCAGTTATGTGTCTATCTCTCTCCCTCTTCATTCCTTTCTGAAATTAATAAAAATATTTTTTTTAAAGAAAAACCATTAATGAAGAGGGCTATCTATAAATTCTTCAGGCTTACCTTGTTTATTTCCACTTCTCTGTTCAAAATTATATATAAAGGCATCTAGATCTATGAGATGCCTTTATATATAATATTCTTAGCTACTCAGGCAACCTCTTTAATTGTCCACATAGGTGGTTCTTCATTTTTATCTAACTTTTTCTTATAATTATAGCCTATTTCCAAAATGCCATCCAATACTTTAACCAGGTCTGGAGACCATAATAAATATAGTCATTGGCTCAAAGTTTGAAAATTTATTTCCTGGCTGCATTTTGTTGCCAAACTCAAATAGGTATGCCACCATATCAGTTTCTGAGTTCCTTAATACTTGAAACACAACAAAATGTTGTTTTTTTTTTAAGAATATCTTTACTTTAAAAAAAAAATAAAAAAATAAAATAAAAAATAAATAAAAAAAAGAATATCTTTACTGATTTTTATAGAGGAAAGGAAAGAGAAGCAAACATCTGCAAAAAACATCTGGCCATCTTCCACATGCACCCTGATCAGGAATCGAACCCATAACCCGGTTATGTGCTCTGACTGGGAATTGAACTGTGACCTTTTGGTACACTGGATGGAGGATGCTCAACCATCTGTGGCAGCAAGGGCCTGATTTCTTCTTTTTGATGAAACAATGTTTACCTTGTAACAATTTCTGTTCTTTCTCAATTGGGACTTTAAGATTTTTCCTGTCTTTTGCTTGCAGACCTGATGGACACCAGAACAATCTGAGGAGTTCTGCATATGAATCTCTGATGGAAATTGTGAAAAACAGTGCCAAGGATTGTTACCCTGCTGTTCAGAAAACTACTCTAGTCATCATGGAGCGACTTCAACAAGTACTTCAGATGGAGGTGAGACAGGGCATTCCTGGCTGTGGGTAGAAAGGATGCAGTACTTACTTCTAACACAGCTTTGCTTTCAAGGCTGTTCTTTTCGGTGTTTAAGTATATGTTTTCTCAGAAAGATAACGTTTATGCAAAAAAAGTATTGTAATTTAAAGTTTGCATTGCTTGTCACAGTTTACTCATAAATGTGGGGGTTTTTGTTTGTTTTTATTGATTGATTTGTGGGAGAGAAAGCAACATCAAATTATTGTTCCACTTATGTATTCATTGGTTCCTTCTTGTAAGTGCCCTGACCTGGAATCAAACCCACAACCTTGTGGTATTGGGAGAACACTCTTAACCCAGCAGTCGCCAACCTTTTGGACCTCAGGACCACCAGTGGTCCACCAACCGCCGGTTGGAGACTGCTGCTTTAACCAACTGAGCGACTGACCCCAGGGCACACGTGTTACTTTTATTTACTTTCCTACATTAGTATCAGTGAAGCTTATTTCATGGTCCTCAGTTAATGCAAACCCAGCGAAAATGGAAACAATGAGGGACTTTAGAGCCTCTTGTAAAAAGTGTTTATTCTGAACATGATGATCTTTTTTTTTCTTGTAGTCACATATCCAGAGCACATCCGACAGGATCCAGTTCAATGACCTTCAGTCTTTACTCTGTGCAACTCTTCAGGTATGATGGTGCCATCTCACACTCTCCAGGGGAGAGAATCCTATCCCAGGATAACAAGTTTATGTACACCCTGAACTTTGAGATGCTGCAGATGGTGCTTATGAGAAACTCTTCTCAAAGGGATTGGCAGAATAATCTTTCATTTTCCTTTCTCTGTCCAGAAAGGTGACATTTGTAGGGAAGAAAACTGCTCAGTTTATGATGGTCTTCCCTGCTATACAGTGTTTTTTGAATATTTGAATTTATGAGTTTGAGTTGAACAGATACACCTGAAAGCAAGATCTCAACAGACTGATAAGAATGCTCTTTACAGCTGTGGAAGTGCTGGGACACTTTCAGTCTTTGGTTTCCATTGGTTGTCCAAGTGCAGCCCGGCAGATTGGTTCCCAGCTGTACTTCACCCAGCTAAAAAGAAAGCCGGGGGTTTCTACCCTCATACCTTGAGTTATACCTATTGGCAGCAGCCGTTTTCTGGAAAGCTGGGATAATGAAAATGTCACTCCTCATGACAGCTCATGCAGGGGCTGAGGGGTTTTTACTAAAGAACAGGAAACCCCTGGAACTTGCCTGATGCTTAGGTGGGCACTAGATTTTAGCGTTGGGTGTTGCTTACTAGGTGTCCTTACCTGTGAACTCCCCTCTCTTACTCCAAACCTAATTTAAAAAATATATATATATATTTTGATTTTTTTTTTTTTTTTTTTTTTTTTTTTACAGAGAGGGAGAGAGAGCTAGAAACGTCGATGAGATAGAAACATCGACCAGCTGCCTCTTGCACACCCCCTACCGGGGATGTGCCTGCAACTCAGGTAGTACATGCCCTTGACCGGAATTGAACCTGGGACCCTCCAGTCCGCAGACAGACACTCCACCACTGAGCCAAACCGGTTTCGGCCCAAACTTAATTTTTTAAAAAATATATTTTTATTGATTTCAGAGAGAAAGGGAGAGGGAAAGAGAGATAGAAACATCAATGATGAAAGGGAAGCACTGATTGCCTGCCTCCTATATGCCCCACACTGGGATTGAGCCTGCAACCCAGGCATGTGCCCTAACTGGGAATCGAACCGTGACCTCCTGGTTCATAGGTTGATGCTCAACCACAGCTACGATGGCTGTGCCAAACTTTTTAAATCATGTCTGTTAAGAAGTGTTTCCTTATTCATCTGACAAATACAGGAATTACCATATTTTCCGGCGTATAAGACGACCCCCTAATTTTACAGTTAAAACATAGGTTTAGGCCTATATTCACTGTATAAGACTACCCCCCACTTCCGAGGCAACAACAGTTCTTTTTTTAATTAAATTTTTAATGAATGACATTTTTCGAACATACCGTAATATATACCATACATTGATACTGTACATCGGTTCAAAAGTCGTCTTATACGCTGGAAAATACGGGTATTCAGTAGCATTAATTGGAACAAAGGTTAAGGAGGGAAGTTGGCAGAATTTTAAATTAGGAAAAGTAAGGTTGGCTTCATTTTATCAAGACTGTTTCTTGACCATTAGGCTATATGAAGGGTTGTTATTGTTTTGTGGGCAAGTACTATATGACATATTCTTTGAAGCAGAAGTAATAAGACTGGAATATGGAAGCTGCTGATGGGTTTGTTAGACATAAAGAGTTGGTTTTATGCACATGAAAGATCATCCTGTGTGTTCTGAATTGGGAAATAGGGTATTAGAGTATATGTTGCAAGTGATTTGCACTGTCAAAAAACATTTGAGCATAAAAGATACATTTGGCCTTTTATATTTAACCTGACCTGAGGATATATTTTACATTGCTTTTTCAGAAAGAAATGGAGGGTGGGGGAGAGAGAGAAACATCCATTTGACTGGCTGTCTCCCACACACACCCCCCACCTGGTGTGCAGGCTGACGCTCTAACCACTGAACCATGCCAGCCGGGGCAGTATATTTGGCTTCTTTCTTTTCTTTTCTTTTTTAATTTATTGATTTTGTACAGAGAGGAAGGGAGAGAGAGTTAGAAACATCGATGAGAGTCATCGATCAGCTGCCTCTTGCGCACCCCCTACTGGGGATGTGCCCACAACCAAGGTACATGCCCTTGACCGGAATTGAACCCAGGACCCTTCAGTCCCCAAGCCGATGCTCTATCCATTGAGCCAAACCAGTCCCGGCAATTTGGCTTCTTTAAGAAAAAATTTCAAGGGACTTAATTGATTTTTTTTTTTTTTTTTTTTTTAAGTATAATGTTCTGATTGGAGGATTTGGAATAAACAGAGCCTGACCTCTTGTTCATTTCACAGAATGTTCTCCGGAAAGTGCAACATCAAGATGCTTTGCAAATCTCTGATGTCGTCATGGCTTCCCTGTTAAGAATGTTCCAAAGCACGGCTGGGTCAGGGGGAGTTCAAGAGGATGCTCTAATGGCAGTTAGCACACTAGTGGAAGGTCAGTGAGTCCAAATCAAGCAGGGGATGTTTTTAGAAGGCAAGAGCTACAATGGCCATGGAGAATTTTTTACTGTGGAAAGCATAGTTGTGTTTTCTCATTTACTGCGGCATGAGTCAGTTCAGAGTTAAATTGAATGTAATTGTAAAATTGTGCATGACTGCCTTGCCTCTTATTCTCCTTGAAGTAAATGGGGAGCCAGTTTGCAAATCAGAGTGCAACCTTTTGGGGGGAAACTTATCATCTACCTAATGTGTGTTGGGTTTCTTTTCTCCCTGAAAGTCTTACTTGATTATTGAGGTTTGGCTCCTCTCAAGGATAGAGAACTTTACCTCCTGGTTTGTTGGGTGGTAATGCTTTAGACTCAGGTTGACACATCTTAGTGTCTGGTATGAGATGGAATAAAACAGTGAGTGAGTTCTTGGAATTTCTGGTTGTTACATGACTTAGAAGCCACATCAGACTTAAGACTCTTTGAAGGGTCGTTAAAAATACATTAAAGAGCAGTTTAGAAACCTGGAATGCTTCTTTAGGCGATGCCTGTACGTGAGAACCACTCCCCTGAGGACCAAACCTATTTCTAGCTCAAAGAGCATGTGTCTAACTGGTCTGTCACCATGCGACCACCCTCACAGCACAGTGGTTCATTTTGGCTCCTGGAGTAGCTGGTTTGGATATGAGTCCCAGTCTGCTTATCCTGACTGGCTTAAGTAAGTCCTTAATGGAATTGCCTGGGGACCCCGTTGTGAGCTGGCTTCCAAAGAGGACATGTTGGAATCAGATGAAGAGGTAGACAAGAGGCAGTATTGCTAGCTCAGCCAATTCAAATTAACCTTGACATTCCTAGGAGGCCCCACCACGTGGTGGTTTGAGCCAGAGTGAAATCCTAATCTGCGGCGATGTGGCGTGAAGTTAGGCCTTTCCAGCAGCCAGAATAGTTTATCTGAGGCAGCTTCCACGTCTTAATGATGGTGGAGTGAGAATATGTTGGGGTGGCGGGCCTGGTTGATTTGCTCACTCTGACATCCTGGACGGTGACTCTGTCTGTTCGCAGTGCTGGGCGGCGAGTTCCTGAAGTACATGGAGGCCTTCAAACCCTTCCTGGGCATCGGGCTGAAGAACTACGCCGAGTACCAGGTGGGCCATGCGTTCCAAACATGGTGACCTTTGAACTGCGTGGGTCTGCTTGTATGCAGAATTTTTAATACGTTGGGAATTTTTTTTTTTTTATTTGCAACAATTTGAAAAAACCTGCAGACATGGATCACGTAGCCTAGAAATATTAGAAAATTAAAAGAAAATTAGTTGTGTCATGAATGCATAAAGGACATGTAGATATTAGTTTATCGTTTACTATCACAAAATTATACATCTGTTATAGATAAACTTTATCAAAAGTTATATACATAAATAGATACATGGCGACAGTCCAGAGAAATGCATACAAATGTAAAGATGCAATATTAAATCATAATTATTTGAAATTAAAGCAGAACTATTACTGTGATATTTCATAGCCTCCTGTTGCCATTGCAGCATGCTCCAGTGTTGAGAAAAGGTGATATGTGGATTTTGTACTGTACTGGGGTTGGAACTCCAACCCCCACATCATCCAAGGATCAATTATAATGCATTTATATTCTCATTTCTACCTAATAGTCATTCTGGTACAAACTCGGTTTCCTGTAGCACATGTAGTTCTTCCCTGTGTATGGACCCAAGTATTGAGCTATTTTATTTGTTGCTCTTTGTGTCTGCTCTAAAAGTAGTCACTGAGAAGCAGGACTTAGCTGCACCAAAACAGAGTAGTGCTTTTGTTTTCCCCCAAGCCACCTGCCTCCACCGCCACCATCCCTGGTGAATATTGTCTTTTTCTTAGTGATATTTCTGATAGTCTCAGTTCTCTTCCTGCCATTTTCATTAAAATGAACAAATCTCAGAGAGGAGGGTTCATATGTTAAAGGACCAGCAGCTAGGTAAACAGTGCTTGACTCCTCCCTGCAGGCAGTCTTTTCTGTTAGGAAATCATGCTCTTGCTCCTCTGCAGGTCTGCTTGGCAGCGGTGGGCTTGGTGGGAGACCTGTGCCGCGCACTGCAGTCCAGCATCCTGCCTTTCTGCGACGAGGTGATGCAGCTGCTGCTGGAAAACTTGGGGGTGAGTGAGTGAGGTGCCACACCACGGTCCACCAGCCTCTGGGGAGTCCTCAGACCCCACAGCGTGGCTGTGGGCTTAAGAAGAAGGGCTTATTACTCATTTTCACAAGACAATTCTAGAGTCAGATTATAAAATTAAAGGAAAGCATGGAACTTGGGGAGGAAAACCAGTACAATGCCAAGGAAAAGTAAATATAGAATCCCTCTATCCAGAGAGAACCGTTGTTAAGTTGTGTGTATTAATAATTGCTGTTTTGTTTTGTTTTTTTAAGAGTTTGTGTCTTGGGTAGAACAGATTGTGACTGTTAATAATTTGCTTTTCCTGGTTATTTTTCCTTGTCAGAATGAAAATGTCCACAGGTCTGTGAAGCCACAGATTCTGTCAGTGTTTGGTGATATTGCCCTTGCTATTGGTGGAGAGTTTAAGAAATACCTAGAGGTTGTATTGAATACTCTTCAACAGGCTTCCCAAGCCCAGGTGGACAAGGTAAGTGTAAAGCTGTCTTTCAGTCCAGCCCTGATTATAGGAGGAGAACTTTGGCAAACATACTATAACTAAAAACTAGCAATATGATGGAAAGTTTCTCCTTTGTGTCTTGCAGTCAGACTATGACATGGTGGATTATCTGAATGAACTGAGGGAAAGCTGCTTGGAGGCCTATACCGGAATTGTCCAGGGATTAAAGGGAGACCAGGAGAACGTACACCGTTGAGTATTCAACCAAACTTACATAGTCCAGGGTGCACTTGGTCAAATGGGCTCTGTCTCTCATTCTGTAGCTTACTTGTAGACTTAGTACCTATTGCTTAAAGGAAGGGGAAAAAGAGGAACAGTGCCCTAATGAAGAGAGGAGCTTTATGGGGAGGGATAGACTTTTCTTATTTCTGCCCCTTCTTTGCTACATTATCTCATATTCTTGAGCATTGCAAGGGACGGGATACAGCCAGGCTATTGCATCTGCACCAACCTGAGTGCAGTTGTTGGTCCACACATATACCTTCCTTGTGAGACCGAATTGCATGATTGGGGGATTTTTTGTCTTTTATCCCTTCAATATCACGGGCTTTGTTTTTGCTGTATTATATCAGCCTTGTAGAAGAGGAATGTCTGCTTTTTCTGTTGACTTGAGAAATGGCTTGTTAATCTGAGAAAGAATAATTTGGTATAATTATATTCAACTAGGTCTCCAGCCTGACACCTGCCTGATGGGATTAGAGTATTTGGCAATTTGGAAATGGGGTATAGTCCTGCCAGATATGGGACAGGTTCATCAGACCATCTCTTTCTTTTATAGCGGATGTGATGCTCGTACAACCCAGAGTAGAATTTATTCTGTCTTTCATTGACCACATTGCGGGGGATGAGGATCATACGGACGGAGTAGTAGCTTGCGCTGCTGGACTGATAGGGTAGGTTATACCTGGCTTCTCAGAGCTGAGGTTAACTTCTGGTGGAAAGTGGAAGGACATGTAAAAAATAAAATTGGGGGAGGGGGATAGACTACATGGTAATTATACACTTTGGTACAGAGGAGATTTCTTTTTTATTGATTAATTTCCGAGAGGAAGGGAGAGAGATGGAAACATCAATGATGAGAGAGAATCATTGATCTGCTGCCTGCTGCATGTCCCCTACTGGGGATCGAGCTCACAACCCTTCAGTCCCCAGGCTGACGATCTATCCACTGAGCCAAGCCAGAGGAGATTTCTTTCATAGAACCCATGGTGTCATGTTTTTGAGTTCTCACAAATAATAATTCATTTAAGACCATATTTCTAATTTCTCCCCTCTAAACTTATAAAGTGAATTAGGTATAAAAGCAGCATTAGATCTATGTCCATCCCATATTCTGGTGTTGGTCAACAAATTGAGGGTTTCTGAAGCATCATTTAAAGAAAGAACATTGGTTTTGAGAATCTCAAAGACTTGGGTTCTAGTTCTGATTTTAGAGTGAAATATCGGTGGAATGATTGACTTTGGTAAGTCATTCTACCTCTTTAGACCTCATTTTTTATTTTTTTATCTTTTGAGGGCAGGTGTTAGACTTATTTATAAGATTTCTTTCAATTTAAAACAGTAAATGATAGAAAAAACGCATAGCTAGCTTTGAAATTATTGAGCTCAATACGTCCGGTCGGGAGCTCATGTTCAGGTGTGTTTATTTTGTCCAGGGACTTATGTACAGCATTTGGGAAGGATGTCCTGAAATTAGTAGAAGCTAGGCCAATGATCCATGAACTGTTAACTGAAGGACGGAGATCGAAGACTAACAAAGCAAAAACCCTTGCTACATGGGCAACAAAAGAACTGAGGAAACTGAAGAACCAAGCTTGGTAAGAGCTTGTCTTTACTGCCCTCTTCCTTGTACTTTCTTGGGGGGGGGAGGCATTTATTTAGATTGTTATGACAAAGACTCCCTTTCATTTGGTATCTTGTTTTGTGCTGTTTGCCGTTATAAGTGTGTCCGAGCAGGGCTTTGTACTAGTGGAAGGGGTCAGACAACCTCAATCTTTTCTTGAGCCAAATACTTGATTCTTCGTGGTGATGAAGAACAGAACTTTTATAACTAGAATTCACTGACGTGCCCACATTTTGGGCCTTAATAAAGTCCTCCAGAATGGCATTTCCCCATAATTCTCTTTTCTTTCTTACTGCCATGCTTTTAGACATGCTTAGCTCTACAGAAGATACCCAAAGTCAGCTGTCTGACCCCTGCTTGGCAATGTGGTTTTAATTTATTTTTCTCTCACATACTCAGTTATTTTACTTGACAGATCCCAGTAAAATTGGCTATTTTTGAGTGTTATCTTTTTACTTTCCCTCCCACTTTCTGATGTGCCAATAAATGGCACATAGGAAGGGGAGAAAAATAATCAGTCCTTGAAAAATTGACAAATTCCATTCTGGCCTCTGAGCACTTAAAATTGTAGGAATCAGAGGTGTTTGGCTCTACCAGCTATATGTGATCTCAAAGACTGACCTTTTTCCCATCTATTTTTAGATCTTGTTACCATCGGGATGATAACCTGAGGCCCCCACTGGAAATCTCCAATCTTTTGAAAAACCCGGAAGTGAGGAGTGTGCACGGATGCTGAGTGTTTGGGAATGAGAGGATGAGTGAGTGAGGCTTGAAAACACACCACATTGAAAATCCTGCCACAGCAGCAGCCGCAGCCACCAACAGCAGTGCTGTTAGTGAGCTAAGTAAGCACTGACTTCGTAGAAAACCATAACGTCGGCCATCTGGGAAGAGAGGAAAACCGATGGATTTACTTACTTACGAAAGAAAGCTGTCTCTTCCCAGGAGAGGCTAGAACTAGCTTTTCTGTCTTTTGGCCGGTGCGGAGTGAGTGGAATGACTAGTTTGCGAGAGGAGGGGGAGGAGGAGGAACTGGGTTCAGCTGTGGTGCTTTGTTGTAAAAGGCAGCCTGGCCTTTGCTACTGATAAGAAAGATGGAGCCTGGGTCTCGAGCCCACCTTTGGTGTACCTTTGCCATACGGTACTGTATGTGTGCCGGCTAAAAGGAGGGTGAGGGATTCTTACAGTCTGAGAATGAGTGTGTGTGAATGAGGCGGTATCCACATTCTCAACTTCAAGTCATTGCAGTTTCTTTTTCCCAGAAAAAAAGGGGTTAGACATTGCATTTCATAAAACTAACAGAAGTTCTGTCTACTGATGCAGCACAAGAGATGTAAAAAGGGGGGGGGGGGAAGCTCTTTAGGTTTCATTTTTTGTTTTGTTTTGTTTTTTAATTATCTTCTAGGGAAAACACTGACGAATGTTCAGAGCTCCCATTCTGATCTATCTCATCAAGGCGCCTTCCCTAATAATATGGTTCAACTGTGAATGTAGAATTGGGGGGAGGGGGGAGAAAACGAAAACTCTGGAGTTAGATGATATAGAAAAAAATAAAAATGCAATTGTTACAAATAAAGAATGCAGACTTCAAAAACAAAAGAAAGCCACAGCCCCCCCAAAAAAACAAAATTTAAATGCTCAGATTGGCAGCGCAAAGAAACATTCTCTCCTGACGTGTATCAAGGCAGTCTGAACACCCCCAGAAAATTGTGCCAAAGAGTTTAGAAAACACATACAATAAACACACACACACACACCCAGCAAACTTCAGGTAACTATTTTGGATTGCAAACAAGGATAAATTTAATGTTCAAACAATCTGATAAAATAACCATTTGGAAACTGCTTGGCCTTCTGTTCTCTTATTTGATTGACTGCAATGCGATATTGGTCTCTTGCTGCACTTCAAAACCAACTATCCAACAACAACAAAAGAATATATAAGTATATATATACATATACTTAGACTAGAACTCTTGTGATGAAAGTGGCACTTGAAAAAGGTTATATTTTTCCACTGAAGTTGAAGACTAATAAAACGGTGTCAAACATTCCCCTGGTCACACACTTTAATATTTTTTTAAAAGTGTGATGTGCTGTGATAACCATAAATCAGACTTAATTGTGTTCCCTTTTCACAGGGAACAGGGCACCCTGAATTTGGGTTTTAGAATCTTTCAGCAATAAGGGATGTGGGTGAGCTTTGATCCTCTTCTGGTTTTGCAGTTAATAGAGGAGTTTTTGCTGGTGTTTTGAATATGCTGCTTTCAAAAAACACCCAAGGGAGATTTTTAAATGCTTCCTGGTATTTGGAGGATTGAAAAACAAGACCTTAAAATTCCCATTTTCATTTTCCTTCTAGCAAAAAATAGGGGCTTATGTATTTCTCTGCCATTTCCCCCTCCCTGTCCAAGCCTTCCATTCATATGTGGGTTTGGCTCGGTTTTGCCCATCCATATGGCAGCATCTCTAATAGCTCTTGTACAGGGTATCAGATATTGTGCCTTTTGGTGCCAGGTTCAAAGTCAAGTGCCGATCTATGAACCAGTGTACAAAAAATAAATCCAGGTATTTGAAGAAAAGACGCTCCATTGTGAATAGAGTGCACCAGCTCTTAAGCCCTAAGAAGAGACCTGGCCCTCTAATGCCTTGTGTAAATTTTAGTTGTTCCTTGAGGGAGAGGGTATATTAACCATTCCTGGTAGACAGGGTTTGGTCAAGGCTTAGGGATGCGGCAGGAATATTGGGGAGAAAACAATGATCATTCCTCAGTGCTACCCATTTCTGTCCTGTGTGGGCTGCTTAGCTAGACAGCAGGAGAATAAAGTACACCAAGAACCATAATGAAAACAAAACCTTGCGTGTGTTTTGTCATTTTGTTCCAGGGAAGCAGTTGACAAGTGCTGTTATTAACGCTTTCTCCCAGATCCATTCAGTGATGGAGAGGAGGAAAATGGGCTGGTTGGATTGTGGTCTTGGTGCCTCGCAGTTATTCTGCACTGGTTATGCATTTAATCTAGTTACCTTTGGCTAGTGGGTACTCCATAGTTTGGGCTTTGTCCTTAATCAGTTGTACCACCTAAGGCAACTGGATGCAAAATACATTCTATCCACTCTTGTCTGGGCCTTCCCCACCCTAGTCTTGGCACATTCCTTCAAGAATGTAGTTACCGTCTGCTTGGGAAGATGTCAGTGCAAATGTGAAGAAAATGGACATCGGACTAGGCTTTGGTTTGCCACAGTGGCAGCTGCCTATATCAATTACAATTACATTTATTAATTTTGCTTTACATTTTTCCAGTTCCCCTCAGCTCCCCTCTGTTGAAATGTTGGCTGTCAAGAGGCAACTGTGATGCTGCCTCAGGGACTTGTGGAGAAAGGGAGGGGAATTGCTCAGTGTAGTGTTTCACTTTCAGAACCAAGTAATCTAGTCACTCATATTTAAGAAGTGTGTTAGTCTGACTTTAAGAGAAATCCAAACTCCATCAGCTTTTGATAGCATCTTGGTTTTCGAAACTTCAATCTGTAATTGGCATTTAAAATGCCCTTGGCATGCCAGTCTGTGATGGCATTGAAGACCTGTTAAAACACTTGAGCCCAACTTTATTAACCAAAACTGATACCACCACCTTTATCTTCTAAATAAAGTCCGCTTTATTTTTATTTTCAACATTTTGCTGCTTCATTTTTGGTTCCAGATGGTGTCACCTTGAAGGTGAAATGAATGGTTTGAAAGAAGCTAGAACGTGTGGTGGCGGTGGTGGTGTGTGTGTGAGTTTGGGAGAGGAAGGACAGACACATCTGTCTTTAAAATGGACTGTACATAATGTAGTGGGAAATAAAAACATTCCCACAGATGGGGTCGTGCAAAGGTACTACATGGAGGAGGTATCCTGTTCGGACAGTGTGAAACTGCTAAAGATTGGCCTCGTGCATATTTTCCAGGTTAATGATCTGGGCTGCTAAAAGGCTCGTCACAAAGATTGGCTTTTCACTCAGGCTGCAACATGTATTTAATTTTTACTTCCACTTTTGCCCCAGAAACTTGTGAAGAACATTAACTTGGGATTTAGGAACTCGGTCCTTCACCCTGCTGCTTAGGAGCTTAGTGGCACCTGCAGGCTATTTTGTGGAAATACTCACTTGATTAGTTTATGTCAGGCAAATAAAATGAGGGCTAACTTTACTTCTACCTTAGCCTCCATATAGCCATTTACCTTTTTTAGATGCACACACTTGTCAAGAAATTTTGATCATGCCTACTCTCAACTGTTTATAAATTCTATACCTGTACTACTGTACCCATATGTTGTGTAATCATAACAAAAATAGAATTAAAGACCAATTAATCAAAAAGTAAATATAAACAAAAGTTCTAATGTTTTTATGTCCAATTTTGAGATTCCTCTGTTACAGAGGTAACCTGTAATTCTAATCAGACTGCATTAAATCCTGAGTGATGGTAATTAACCAAGGACATTTCTCCAGTAAAGGAGTACTTAAAAGGAAAAACTATATCAATTGATTATCAAATGGCAGGGAGAGATTTCTTTCCCTGCTAAACGTGGTTTTTCCTTTTCAACATTTCTCCAATAACCCCCATTCCCATATACCCACTTCCCAGCCAACACTCAAAGAACAGAACAAGCTTACAGTTCCACCAGGCTCATAGACTAGTGAACATGGAGATTTTGTTAGTTCCATTATAGCTTTTTAAATTTGTTTTAGGGAGAGAGAGAAACCTTGGTTGCCTCCCATATGAGCCTTCACCAGGTATTAAACCCACAACCTCCTCATGCCCTGACCAGGAATCAAACTGGTGACTGTTGTGTGGGATGATGAAGTAAACAGGAGGGGCCACCATAACGGACTCTTAGGCTTTTATTATATAGATTCTCAGCCACTCGAACAGTCACTATTCCTGTTTGCTGCTGAAGAAAACAGGAGGGGCAGAAAGATTGAAACCAGGCCAAGGTCA